GACCAGAAACACAAACATGCGCACAGACGCACCTGGCGCAGTCGGTCCACCACTGAGGCCTACCAGATGGGTCATAAGCACTTCATCGAACCGAAGTTCATCAGTGCCTCGCCACCTGTCATTCTCTGTCGCTGCAGATCGGGTATTTATCAATCAGGCATGGGCGCACACCGATCTATTTGCTTCACAAAGCAAACAAGCTCCGTATGTGTGGCAAAGGTCACGAACAGGCAACCAATTACCAGGCCGAAGTCGGCCAAGTCATAATAGCAGCGAGGAGGGACGACAGAGAATGCGGGTAGATTGATCAGCCAATCATAACCCTGACCACCAGCAGCTGCGACCAGAAACACAAACATGCGCACAGACGCACCTGGCGCAGTCGGTCCACCACTGATGCCTACCAGATATATACATGGATATGGAATTAATTTATGTGGATCGCACAGCAATGAATAACTTTTATTCAGCATTTCCTACTTGCGGTAATTCTGTACAGAGGTCAATTAGGAGAAATAGTGCGTTTCAGTTCACCAGAGGCAGGCTAAATGAGGCGAAACGCAATCAAGTTTTACGCTAGTAATTTGCGATAGAGTCAGCGGTAAAAGTGAGACACGGGGAGGTTTGCAGTGTCCAGACAGGAGGGTTGGATGCCGAAAATGGGTTGATGGTGCGACGATTTGAACACCGTAAAGGCCTGGTAGGAATGCATTCAGGTGAAATCGAACTTTGTTCTAATGGGAGTGACGGTGACTAGTCGGAAAATGCATGAGACCTTAACTGATTCCTCGAAATTTATTGCGGTCGACTTTTTAGGGTCAGTCACTCTTTCATCTTCCCAAGAACTCTCGTTTTTCGTTTCTTCCTAATGCCCTTCACTTCTCCTTTTCGGTGTCATAGAAGATCCGGTGGGCAAGTTAATAATAATGGTTTTACAGCAGCCACAAATCCAAAATCTTGAACTCAGACCTCAAACGCACTTACTGCCAGAAGATCTAACATGCGCGATATTGCAGTTCTAGCAATCACTGAAGATGGTTTTAAGAATAGTCATTCTCAGTGATATACTCGCTTTTATTTGTGGACTACCTCCAACCTCGTAGATTTACTCCGGTAGGAAAATATAGCCACCGAAGACATGCATATTTTACATACAATTGTTTTATATTAATGCGGATGTATTCCGCATTTATCAAGTAAATTGTCAAAACGATTAAGTCCTACGGTTAGCTTATGTTAAACAACGGCTTATTCGGAATTTTTTTCGAAAAAACTTGGTGGTTCGGCTCAGCGGCGAATCATACTTCAGATAAGATTCAAAGTGTTTGTTTGAAAACATGTTACATCTACTAGCTCAAAGCTTCTTGAGCTTCTTAACTGAGAATTCAGATCGGGGTAAGATAATTTTGAACAACTGTATCAACTTATTAGGATGTGTCATGGAATGCCAGTGTTTGCGTGGCGAAATTCCCTTGCCGCAAAATAAGGTCAGGGCACAGAATCCGATAGCGTTCACATTTTACTCCATTTTAGAGCCATTAGATGCCCTTTGCCAAGTGTAAACATCGACCCCATGTTTTGCTTATGTAATATGTATGTAACAGGATGTGTGATCACTTATTTCATATTCCTGAAGAATGACTTCACACATCTTTAAGGCAGCCTACCTTGGCTCTCATATTCACGACATTTTAGAAAGTCTCAGATCCTTTTTAATAGTTGAAACATTTTATTTGTGTAAGCCATGCAATACAGGAAGTAGTACATCCAAAATCCTTTGCTGTGAGATTATACAAATGCAGCCGACCCGGTAGATTACGAATGTTCCTTCACCCTATTTCAGTCACACTGCCACGTTTGCAGGCTGATCCAATATGTTACCTAACTAGTGGGTTTTTAGCATGCTGCACAATGTATTATTTCAAGTTGCTGACGAAAAATCATGTATATTAATACACTTGACGAACTCCAGAACACCCCAACGAAATTTAGTAGGAATGAATTCTTAAGAAACATAAAAACCCGGACCAGGAAACTTCCTGCCAAATAAGACCAACTTAATTCCTACACTAAAACAGTAAATCTAAATAGCGTTTAATGTTTCTCGCGTTAGCACACCATATAGACACTTTGAAAGGGTTCTGATAACTTACTTTAATTAGTAAAATGACATAATAAACTAAGAAATGTGTGTGTATGTGTGTGAATCAGGAGGTGATGTTTCCGGTTGGGGGCTCCATTGGTGACATTGAGTTATATTGTTTACCAAAAAGTATTGATATTCAAAGTCTAAATATAAGCAGAAGCACTTTC